CGTACTGTAAACCCTCTAAGAACCTTGATGCAAGATTTCAGAAGTGAGCATTGGTAATTTTTGCGCATATTTAGGTAATTTTTATAGCATGCAAGGAAAATTAAGTTGAACCTTTTAATTAAGTCAAAACTTAAGATCATCTTAGTCAAATTCCAATTTCAACAAACATCGGATCTTGAAACCATTTTGTTATAATTAGATTTCCAAGCGGTAGACCAAGATTGGTATAGCAATACCAAATCTCGGTTAATAGGTATGGCTTGAATATCAGGCAGACCATGCGCTCCTGATATAGCGCCCTAACTTCACATTTTGTTGATGACAGTATTATGAACAGTTTAGAGTTGTTATCGGCGCAGAGTAGTACCTTTAATAGTCATTTTGAGCAGAAGCAGTGCTTACACGGGAACCCTACTGCTTGTACTGTCGCATATTGGGGCACCTAAATGATAGCAAATGGTTCAATGTCGTTCATACTCATATGCCTACTACCAAATTCACTTGCGAAAAGCTAATGAATAGTTGGCTTTTTGAATGTGCAGGTGTATCAATTTAGAGCCACATAGAGTACAATGTAATAGGCTCTGAAGAAGTACATGGTGGTTTTACTTATTTAAATTTTGATTACAAATTCTTCAAACATTTATTGTTAATTTGTTGCAAAATTATATATCATTTTAAAGTATATCTTACGCACTATCTCTTTATAATATTTGTTTTTTGTAACAGTAATGCGCGGTTAAAAATTCAGAGGTTTGAAAAATGAAAAATTTTCAAATTCGCGCCATTTTCAAGTTGAAATTGGGTGAAAAGCGGGGAAACAGCTCAAAACTTAATCGTATCTTCGGCATTTTTGAAGAGGTAACTTGTACTAAATAATAAGACATATGTATTAAGAATTACTTACTTATTTGTTACTTATTAAATATTTGTAATAGGTTGGCCAAAAATAATTTCGGCTTGAGCAAGCGCGGTACCAATTTTTCGCATTTGTTCGTCTTCCCAAAAGCTTGCAGGTGGTTTTGATGGTGGCATGTGTGACTAGGCAACTCTCATGTTAGAGTTGGATCCGTCTCGACTTCCTTTAATTCACGGTCATCGCAAAAAACGTCTGTCTCGTCTCCATTTCGAAAACGTTTACACCAGATCTGGACCTGCCTTTCACTTACGATCGCTCAAGCACCGCACAAAGTTCGACGCAATTCTGCTGCACTTTTTCTTGTTTGAAGTCGTACAGCATGCAAATGCGAAATTTGAATTTTCTGGCCACGCACTTTCTAAAGCTTATAAATTCCTAAAATGGAAACGCATTGAGTTGAAGCTACAATAGACTACTCACCGTGAAGTGCTCTTTCAAATAATGCCATACTTGCTCACAAAACTCCAATACAGAACTTGCGAGAAACGTGCAAACCCAACCGAAACATTTTTGGCCAACCTAATATAACTATACACTACAAATATAACAAAGTAAATAACGAACCAAAAATGAAAAAAGAAGGAGAAAGTTGTAATAAAGAAATAAATGGCAAAAACCGCCATTTATTTCCTTACAACCTAATTTCCATGAAAATAGAACAAGAATATCCTCGTAACCTACCGTGCTGCCATCCCTAATAATAGCAATAGTTCTGAACAGTATTTTTGAACGACTAGATTTCCTCCGGTAGGCAGGAACGCACAAATTCTTCAAGCTGGCTAGTTAGATGGTGCAGTTAATGGTGTCCTGCTTTATGTAGCTAACTCGCAAACAAAACGCCATAGATAGGCGCGCATCGCTCGATTTTGCTAAAATCTCTTTTGCATGTGTATCATTGCCGTTAACCAGGAGATCTATCCGGCTTAGTTGTTTGCACGGCGAGGGCAAGTGGGACCGTGTAAGTGTTGTGAACATATCCCTCTTACCTCCAGGTTATGTGCAATTAGGTATCTGACAATATTGACATAGTTTCTGACTGCATGATCACTAAATTTGAAAAGCCTCGGCAAGCTTGTGTATCCGGGTGAGGAAG